TAAGGCCTTTTTTCTAAAGGGGGGGGGACGTTAACATGCATTTCAACCCTATACCTGTTTTCAAACCTATCAAAGGTGAAACCAATCAATTTAAGCTTTAAACTCTTGTAAATCTTTAGATAAGCGTTATTGAATAAATATGAACTTTTTTTACAAATCTAAATCATTATTAAATTTAATATATACAATGCTGTAAATGTTATTATTATGTACAAAACATGATTATATTGTTCTAGACAAAGCAAAGGTAAAGAGCCACCTAGCGTTTATAATATGAACTGAAATTATCTTCTGTGTTGTTGTCTATTTGGAAACTCTGTGGAGAGAACTCTATAACACCCCTCCATATTCAAAGTGTCCTACTTTACAGATCTTCCACAGAAAGTTGTATAAGGTGGAACATGTGTTCAACAGATGTTGTGTAATACAGGAGAATACATATAGTGTGTCAGGTTAAACAGATCTTATTTCAAGCTGACATCTTAATAAGTTCCAATGTTTAACTATAGGTGACTCTACTGTATAATTACATTAATAGAAATACAGTATAAAAGAATATATAAAGTTTTGTTGAAAAAGATATGTGTTTTGCCTTGTTTAATTATTTAGTTTGAAATGTTAAAGATTAAATCAAATACTTTATTGTTATCTTTTGTATTATATTTTCAAATTTGACGTACACAAAGATCACGGAACAAGTTTTAACACTAACTTAAGCTACCCTCCAAAAAATTCAAATCGTTTCATTATTTTAGATCTAAGTGTACCTTACAAAATGGTAAACTTGGATTAACTTAAATTAGAGTAACCTTAAATATACGAAGGTAGCTATAGGGGTAGGGTGGGGCTAAGATACTTATCATGTAACAGTAAGGATTTCAGGGGGTTTTCAGGTCCCAACGGGTGCTACCCCCCTCTGGAATGCATAAAAAAACCCTCCACTGTACACATTCCTGACAATGCCCCTTAAATACAGTCTCATGAAGAGAGTACGGTTGTTATTCACAATTTTCACAAAACAGTTCATCATTATTTATACAAGAGAATGAACGAGCTACAANTATTGTAAAGCCTAATTAAAAACTTAATAACACATGTACAGTACACCACTCCAAGTGTAAACCGAAGAAAATCTGTAGAACACATTTTACTAAAATTCTAGATGGGGCTCTTTCTGCAATAACCCCTCTATTTCTAATACCTCGATGGTTTAAACCGCTTAACATCAACTATTAACCCTATCCCGATTGGGCTATTTTTGTCTAATATAGAATGGGGTGGGTGGGTGGTGTTTTCCACCTTCAACTATGGTTTTGCTCTTAGAATTGAGATAGGAGAGTGTGATACATGTCCTTAGCCCAACTTTTTATGGCCTGTTCATTAAAAAAATAATTATACCTCTAACTTTAATGGTCAGGGTGTTAGGGAGGATTTTTTAAATGTTCAAAAGTATGTTAAAAAAATTTTCAAAATAATTTTTTTTATTTTTGACAAATACTAACATAATAAAAAAGTTATTAACCATTTCTAATTTTTTTTTAAACGCCGACCGTTCCTTCCATCCTACCCTATGCATCAAAAAAAAGATTTATTGAAAAAATGAAGAAGTTTTAGTGTTCTTGTTAGCAGTTCTTAAGTTATTCAGAAGAAACCACAAGGGGCGTGGAAAATACCCTCCCCCCCCCCATTGTGATAGGGTTAAACTTTTTACATTTTAGAGTTCTATCAGGACTATAAAGTATATAATATTAATTCCTCTAAAACGTAAATTTATGAGTCAGTAGTTAATCTCTCTTCCAATATGAATAGATGTTGATTGCATGTCTATGTATTTAAAAGGTTGATATTAACCTTGGTACAGAGTGTCCCACAAAACATGACATTAGCAAGACAATTTGAAAGTTGTTTTTAATCTTTACTAGAAACATTTAGTCGTGAACCTTATTGCACAGGTATGATTCTTGAAACAATAACTATACAAAATTTTTCTAATTCTGGGATTTCCAAAATGTGGTCTGATTTTTTGTGATCTCAATATTACCAGAGAAATCGAGAATTTCGTTCAGATTTCAATTTCATGAAATAAAACCCAAAATTGTCGAAATCTGAAAAAAAATTCTTCATATCTGCGTACTATTGAGAGCACAAAAACAAGGCAGAACACATCTGAAAATGCCAAGAATAGGAGTATTTTGTGACTATTATCCTAGAATTTTACTTCGGAAATTTAGTTCACAAATAAATGACGTAAATTTGTTCAAAAACTAATGTTTTTGAAAAAGCTTGTTTTTTTAAATTAAAAAACGAAGAAGTCGTTTCGTAGAAAAAGAGCTTTTTTCAAAAATATTCTAGAGGAAAGATTGAATTTATGTTTGGGTAAAATAAGTTTAGCTGTTCTATATATAGATATCTTTTGCATGACGTCGCTGGAGTTTTGAAAATCACTGATGCACTGAATTTATTATTTATGCCAGAAGACACATGGCTGCGGGAAGAAAAGAGAGCTAGTATGTAACATGGAAGGGAAAAATAGTGTGGCTTATGGCCGCCTGCCTTCCCCCGCTCAATTAAAACAAATATGGGATTTTTTACACACAAAAAATAATATTTTAGAAGTACATTTATTGCTTCTAGATATAAATACATATTAAATAAAGAGTGTATAAAAGGAGAGGAAGTTGAGAAGGTCTTCTCCGGTTCCAGGGTCCGAAACTACTGATTTGCGGATTTCATAATCCTCTTTCGGGGATTTCATATCCTCTACAATATGTTTAAATTCTTCACTTGTATGGAAATGCAATGTGTAGAAATCCAGATACTTTAGTTCTCATGAGATTGATCAAGCATCTTTTAACATTACAAATTATTTTGACCTTTTTGGTTGATAATTTTTATGATATTCATGAGTTTTAAGGGACTGGTTTGATATTTGGGTGATAAAAAATAATACCAATTTTTCAAAATTTCTTTGCCAGTAAGCTCTATACAAATGTTGCCATTGATATTTTTAAGTTACTGCAATTTCCGATGATGGAAATAAAGTCAGTGAAATAAACTTTTGCAAACATTCATTCAAAATTGTCCTTTTTTAACGGATATTTTCTTTCTTAAAATGGTTAAAATTAATGTTCTTTTATTCCGAGATATTAGGTATTTAAATTTTTTGTGTTATTCTAAAAAATGCAAACCATTTAATTTTTTTTGTCTGTTTATCTAAAAATGGTTTTTAACATAAATTAAGTAAAATGTTTCTTTTGGAACAATATCATGAGAGGACAACCCCCTCCCTCCCTTCCTTCACCACCCCCCCCCACTATAACTGCAAGTCTCGTTAAGATATAAAATTAGTGGATCAATTATAAATATAGTAATTGAATATTGCAATGCTTGAAAATCTGACATGATCTAGAAATCTTACATGTTCAATCTGAAGGAAGGTACACTGAAATTTCTACTCGACTCCTGTTTAAACACCCTGCCAACACAAACCATCCCATACCCTTCTAGGGGGAGGTACTGTTCCCCCCCACCTCATGTGACCGCACAGAAACCAGATCTAGCAATTATCGATAGAATGGAGGAAAAGATGGATATTTTTGAGCTTACTGTCCCATTGGAAACAAATATCAAAAATGCCAACACTCAAAGATGAACAAGTATGAACATTTTATCACAGATATAACAACTAGGGATGTGTCTGTTCACCCTTTTGAAATTGGCTCAAGAGGATATATCTCACCGTCAAATAAAGCAAATCTAAAGAAACTGCATAAGTTCTGAAAACCCAGTGTTTCAAAACAATGTGCAAAAATCTATCAAGCCTTGCAGTACTGTCATCATACCACATTTTTAGAAAACGAAAATGCTAGCTCTGGGACCAAGAAACTCCATTTCTGAAAACCATCTCTGAATAACTAAACTATACTCATGCTAAAAGTCTTGTATTGCACCTGTTTTTTTGGCAAACCCTGTCAAGTATAAAATGCGATATTCAGAGAAAAGCGTATTAATTTGTAAACTTTTATATTGTTCAATGTAATTTTGGTTTAGACAAATATAACGGGGATGTTAACTTTTTCATTTTTTTTTGAAAAACATTCGTTTCATTTTGAAAACGACAACGAAAAATCGAAAATGAAACGATCGTTTTTAAAAACTATCGTTTTTAAAAACTATCGTTTTTAAAAACTATCGTTTTTTTAAAGTTCGTTTTTTTAAAATGGTCGTTTTTCAAAATGATCGTTTTTTCATAACTCGTCGTTTCGTTAACGATCGTTAACAACGACCCTTAGTTAACGATCATTAAAGACGACCCTATATTAACTATCATTAACGAGGACCCTTCGTTAACGATCGTTAATGACGACATTTCGTTAACGATCGATAACAACGAGAGGAAACCGACCTGAAGGGCATCTGTACTAAACATTGAGTAGTTTTTAAGAAAATATCAAGAAGTTCAACAACTGTTTAACAACATGTAAGACGACATTCAATAAAGTTGAGTGTAATTAATAAAGTTCGACATCACTTTGTTAACGATCGTTAACGACAACCCTTCGTTAACGATCGTTAACGACAACCCTTCGTTAACGATTGTTAACAACGAGTCAATACAATTGTTTTTTTAAAACGAAACGACGAGTTTTAATGAAAAAAGAAAAAAAATGTTTGTTAAAAAGATAATTAGTCTTACCATTTACGTGCACTTGATATGTTCGGTAACTAATTGGTAACAAAACAACAATTTAAAAAATTACTACCTCGTTGTTTATTTTAAAAACGATCATTTTGTTTTTCGTTTTCTCTTCTTTGTTAACAAAACAATGAGTTCGTTTTTCGGAAAAGTTTAAACGTCCCACCTCTCTACATAAACGGTACTTATCTCAAAGCTATTTTATTTCCGGTAATTTTGAGATTTTAGCGTACAGGAATTCAGTCTTTGCCACAAAGTCAAATTTTCTAATCCCTATACCTTTGCTACCTGATGTTGTATTCCTTATATATTTCAAACTTATATTAATTGATCTAACAGAATTTATAGTTTGAAATAGCTAAGGTCTACGCCATTTGGTTGCACAGATTTAGGGATTAGTAAAATAAGAGTTTGTGGCAAAGACTCAATTTTTTTTTCATATCTTATACACAAAAAATTTGTTATTTTAGAGTTTGTTCTGGGCTTGGAAAAGGCAATTTCTCAATGCTGAGGTAACTTAAAAATTTGAGTTTTTTTACAAGGTCTCTGCTTAGAAACAATTATATCTTTTTTTATGCACTTTACCTGTGAGCATTTTCTTCTTTCTATATACTTTTCTTGTTTTGGTGTCTGGCTTTATTCAATAAAAGTCAAAACAGCTGAACATATAAACTTTTTGTTGAAACTCATATCAACCCAGAAAAGGTTTATGGAAGGTTTAAAATGAAAAATGTTGCCAGTCAAAATAATGTCGAGAATGACATTTATTACTTTTTTAACCCTATCCCCGCTGGGGTACTTGAAAACCAGGATACGCTGGGGGGGGGGGGCAATTTGCCCCCCCCCTCTAAATCCCATGTTTGATGTCCAAATATGACAAATGATACATCATTGGAAAGCTCTTGTGCTCTACTTTTAGAATCTGCAAAAAAATTTGCAAATTTGCAAAAATTGAATTTTTTATCGCAAAATCCAGTTATATAGTAAAAATGTTTGCAAAAAAAAATTTGCCCAAAAAATGAAAAATTATACATTTTTGAAAAGCCCTTGACCATGCCATTTCAAATATGCAAAAATGTTTGCAAAATTTTAAATAACCTGATTTTTAATCAAGAAAAACTAAAAATGTGCAAATTTCCTTTGACAGGTTGTTTTAAAAAAATTTGCAAATTTTTTTCGCAAAACTTGTGCAATCCGTTTCCTTATGTCATAGGCTTTCCAAAAAGCTAAATTTTATCAAAATCTGACAAGTGAAAGTGGGTAAAAACAAAGATTTAGTTTGTTACAGGAAAAAGCATTCATTCAGGCAGTGTGCCTGAGGACTCAGGCAGTTAGTATTAAAGCCTGGTTTTAGGCCTAAAGGGAGGGCTTTGGGTATGTAGGAAAAGTCAGAAAATTTCAACAGCCTCAGACCAATACTTTTTGAGTTATGTAAAAAAAACTACAGGGGGGGTCAAATTGACCCCCCCCCCCCCAGCGGGAATAGGGTTAAATCCGCGAAATACGATTTACGAAGAAAAATTTAGCTTGAAGAGCAACAGTTAACAGTTTAAAATTTTTATTAGAACAGAGAAAGCATTTAAAACAAAAAATAAAAAAGTTTCTGTTATATTGGCGAACTTTTCAAAAAAAATTAACATTTGTTTTTTTTGAATTGAGATTTCTACAATTCTTATCTGCAGCAAACTACATTCAAACCATGTGCACCTATAGTCATTTGTGGTACCAAAAATGTAAGCTCTATTGGTAGCGTTTATTGGATCAAACAAGACCAACTGAACAACAACAGCACATAATTATCTATTTATGCATTTTTGTTTAGAAGCGGAGGGAGGTCCTGCGATTTATTTCACAACGAAATTTCAGGTATAATAAAGTTTTAAATAAAACCTTGAAAAATTAATAAAATATAAAAGTAAGATTTTTTTTAGATGTACGGGAATACATTTGGTGGGAGGTAAGCATATCCCTAAAAAAAAAGAGAAATCTAAATTTTTTGACTAAATTAAAAAAAGTGTCACAATTTAAAAATGTTGAAAAATAAAATTTATTTAGTTAATCCTTTTTATTCTGTTTTGATACATACAAGCTGAAGTGCCTGGCGTTGACCTTGGAATTAAAATAACCCTTGAACATTTCTTTTTATTTGGAAAAAAAATAAAAATTGAAGCAAAAAATCTAATATTTTGAACTCCTTCCAAATAAGGAGACTTCCCAAAGGGTCTTAAAGATGCAGTTTGAAGACAGATTTTAAGAAGGCAATCATGCAAGGATTCCTGAGGATTTATACTTGCACCGAGAAAACATTGGAATAAAATAAACGAGGATCTAGAAATCATGTGAAGAGTGAGGTCAAAAGACTGAAAAAAAAACAGTGTGAGGAAAAAACTTACATGGATGAAAAGCAACAACAAAGAATGGTTTAATGGATGCTTGAAGAGGAATAGGAAAAAACTTACATGGATGAAAAGCAACAACAAAGAATGGTTTAATGGATACTTGAAGAGGAATAGGAAAAAACTTACATAGATGAAAAGCAACAACAAAGGATGGTTTAATGGATACTTGAAGAGGAATAGGAAAAAACTTACATGGATGAAAAGCAACAACAAAGGATGGTTTAATGGATGCTTGAAGAGGAATAGGACCTGTAAATAAACCTGATTGTGAGGCAACTAATCAGAAGGAGGAAATGGTAGAAATTCCGAATCAGTATTTTGGAAGTGTATTTACACATGAAGATACATCCAGTTTACCTGATCGAGCAAGGACAGCATCCATCCATGATGTTGAATTTAATCTAAGACAAGGTTAAGGTTAAAAGCTGGTGCTGTTGTGAATCGGAAATGTATATCTTGTTGAATGTTGGGTCACTTCAAAATACATAAACAGTCCTTTCAGGTGTATTCCTGGATTTATGAGATTTTGATCAAATTTCTTCCAACTCTTCTCATCATAGTTCTAAATATTCTAGGTGCAATACAATATTAATCAAATCTATATTCATGCTTTGCTTGTCTGGTTCCTTTGTATCAAATAAACGTCAAAACGGTAGAACCGATCTGGCCTAAATTTTGCGCAGGACCTCACTGCACATGACTCCAGGGAATGTTTATGGATGCTCAAAATTACAGAAATTTGTGTCCAAAAGTTTTTGATTTTTGATAAATTTTGGAAATGCGCAAAGAAAACATTTTTTAATCTGCTAACTTTTTATTTGTTAATGTTTTATATGGTATAAAGAGAAGATGTTCAGAGATAGAGCAACAATTTGTTTAACACATTTTCAAGTGATGCTCCTTTAAACCTTTATCTGGTCAAAAACCAATGAGATATTTTTTTCTAGCTGAAATTTCATTATTTTCAATTGTAGATTTTCTTTAAATGTGAATAGACAACGTAGGAAATTGTAACTTGTAATATTTATAAAAACGACAATATCTTCCTCATTGTTTCTTACATGCAAGTTTAAAGGGTACCGTTGTGAATCTGGCCATGCCTCTAAATGAAGTATCACTTAAAATTACGCCCAGTCCATTTATATTCTATTGTTTGCAAATGTAAGTATTGCGAAAACTGTGCAAAATCTGGGCAAACAGACAAAGGATAATCAACTCAGACCCAACTAACCCTTCAGATGAAAATATTAGGTTAAACAAATATAGAAAAACCATGTTTTCTCCAATGTGTGTAGAAGAAAGGTGAGTGAGATGAGCTTTCTATATTCCTGGCAGCCTCCCGCCAAAATAAAGTAAATTGTATGTAAGAGTGTTTTTTTCTTTCTTTTTTTCTTTGACAAAGCTTGAACTGAACATACACAGCTTATTAACTTTACAGCACTTATCCTAGAAGCTTGAACTGAACATACACAGCTTATTAACTTTACAGCACTTTTCCTAGAAGCTTGAACTGAACATACACAGCTTATTAACTTTACAGCACTTATCCTAGAAGCTTGAACTGAACATACACAATTTATTAACTTTACAGCACTTCTCCTAGAAGCTTGAACTGAACATACACAACTTAAGTTCAAGTGTGCCTCCAAATGCTACAATGCTGGAGTAGGATGTTGATTTCCAATGTTATCCTTAAAATCATTGTCTGATCAAGGGTTATGTACTGTAGATATTCTTCTTTTTAAACCTGGAAACCGCGATTGTATGCAAGGTATGGATCGTCATCCATGTTCCAACTAAAAACTAAAGTATTTTTTGTATATATATATATATATATATATATATGTCAGATGTATAAATTCTCCCCAGTGCTAAATATGTAGTAGTGCTAGACTTTCTCAATTCGAATCATAAGATTAAAGGGAATGGAAATGGCCCTGGTCTGGCATGGAAAGCCAGTCGCACTGCTTTGCAGACGACTTTGTTATCACACACACACACACACTCTTTTGGTACAGACACAAAACAGGACTACAGTCAAGGAAAGTGCAGAACAATATTGTCAATTACAATAAGGCTTGAATATAACGAGTAGTTTATTGTGATCTTTAATCAAACTTTATTCTTTGCTTGAAAATTTGGCTTATAGTGTTGACTTAGATATATAAATAATATGTTACATGTATATTAAACTTATTTTTAAGTAAACAATTAACAATAAACAAATTTACTACCCTAGACTGTACAAATATCAAGATTATTATGTACTGTATATACCTACAGTACACGCCTACAGTTCGTTATTACTTACACACACTCTTTTTGTACAGACGCACTTACATGACGTTTCCGCCCCTTGATTCGAATCTGTGAGAGTCTGACAGTACCCTGCAGAGCACCAGTAATAATGCTTACACCCACATTTGACTAGAGCTGCGATGAATATATATATATATAGTGTAGTTGTTCTAAATATTATAGACATGGATGTATCAGATGATATGATCAACTTCTCCTTGTTGTTCTCTATCACGAACCTGCTGGAGATTATTAACTACTCACTCAACTTTTACATTTACTGCTACTATAACAAGGATATCAGGACTTCATGCAGACAAATGTTTCAAAATATCAGGACTTCATGCAGACAAAGATGTCAAAATATAAGAATTAAATGTTTTGCCTTAGGACGTTAAATTCAGAGACAAAAGATCAAAATTTGCATGTACAAATTATGACATTTAGATTTATTTTGCTTTTCGAAAGTATCATAATTATAAAATGAACATGACGCGAATTTCGTTACAACAGTTTTATATTTTGAAGTGTTTGATTGTAAACATTTGACATTTAATTGGAAAAATTAGAAGAGTACATTATTTTATACAAATTAGTCAAAAACTAGTGTTAAAGCTTGGTTATTTAAAAAACTTTTAATTTCTATATTTATCTTAAAAGGCCGCATGCAAAAATTAACGAAATTATTTATTTGTCTTTTAAGTGAATTAACATTATTTGATCAGTCAAGTATATCAAATGTAATGTACAGTGTAACCCACAAAAGATGATGAATCGTTACTCCACGAGACAGAAGAAGGGCTGGGCGTCGTTCCTTGGAAACGATCGTTTTTTCACGAGAACAAACGGAATTATCAAGAACGATCCCATCGTTCCAAAAAAAGAACGAACACATAAAGGTTCTTAAAAATATTGGAACGAACGGAAATTGCTTGAAAACGAAACGGAGTTTTGTTGACTTTTAAAAAAGTCAATACGATAAAATAAAAGAGATCTAACGGTATTTCTAATCTTTATTTATTAAAACAAAAGGTTATGAAATATTTTCCCAAGTGGGGCTTAAATTGATTGGTTTAGAAATTAATAAAGAAACTATAGATCAATATCTTTACAGCACTTCTCCTAGAAGCTTGAACTGAAAATACACAATTTATTAACTTTACAGCACTTTTCCTAGAAGCTTGAACTGAACATACACAGCTTATTAACTTTACAGCACTTATCCTAGAAGCTTGAACTTAACATACACAGCTTATTAACTTTTTATATATTTATAATATATACTTTAGATTAGGTTAGAAATTTTTTAAAATTTTGTTAGTGGTGTGTATACAATATCTCTTCTAGTGATTTCTCCTCCCGTATTAGCAACAGATTTCAAGTAAGTAACAGTTTTAGTTTTTTTTAAATCAAACATTTTTAATTTTACAAGACAATGAGTGAACTGAACTAACAGGGATATTTTTAAATAACTTCTTTTTAAAACAGAACATTAAATATTTTGAAATTTGGTCGTGAATTATCACTTCTATTTAAGCTTCTCCAGGGGAGGATACAGCTAAGGGGGGTGGCAGCAGGACCTTTGCACCCCCTGATATTTCAGAATAGCTTCTCAATAGCACTTAAGGGAAAGAAAACCTAGTGCAAAACAGAAAAATATCTATCTTGAAAAAAAAATTTCGCTTGAGTCTGTTGGTTCCTAAATCTTGATTTTATTGTTCCGAAATAAATCTTTCCCCCCTCCCCCCCCTTTATTTAAATCCTGTATCCTCCCCTGAGCTTCTACGCCTAAAAAAAACAGTGAAGCCAGTTTAAAAAAAAGGGATATATTTCTGCTCTAGAATGCTGCAAGAATTATCAAGAGTTAGACGAAGAGTTTTGTCTCGAAAAATCAAGAAGAAAAAGAAGCAAATTATCCCTTTCATTGGTAAGATATTCCGTAAATATTTAAATCAATTTAAAATAACTTTTAAATTCCTCGTCAATTTTTAGAAGAAAATTTGGAACAAATTAAACTATATAAAAAATGTCTTACACCTCAAAAATATAGTTTTTTTAGCATAAACCTTTCCTAATTTATATGTTTAAATGAATTTTTGCTACAAACTATTTTTTGTATGTAAAACCAATCTTCTATATATTTATATACTTTACTTGTTTGTCTGGGTGTTTGTTTGTATCAAATGAACGTCAAAACGACTTTCAAAGAGAAAATGTTTACAAATGAAATAGAAGATGGGCGCGAAGCGCTCTAAAACCCTAGTATATATATGTATCCTAGTATATATATATGTATAAACTAGCTTGGGAACCCAGCGCTGCCCAGTTTCTCCCGCTGTTTACCCGCACTTGAACAGTTTTACCGAAAAACTGATTTTTTCCTTTTTATGTAAACCCAATCAACTTAGAATTAAAAAAAAACATTTCAGTGGGTCTCTCGTGCTGCCCAAAAAAAATTTGAGGCAAATCGGTCCAGAGGTTCCTGATTTATGATCGGACAAACAAACAAACAGACACCCAAACAGATATTATAACTTTATATATACTTTTTTTGAAAATTACAAAAAATAAGAATACAAAATTAACATGTTTTTTATTGTATATTGTTTTAAAATAAGGATCAGCGCTAAGTCTAAGAGAAAAGAAACTTACCATGCTTCTACTCTATATTGTTTATATTTAAGGATCAGCTCCAAGTTTAAGAGAAAAGAAACTAACCATGCTTCTACTCTATATTGTTGTTGGATATTTTATTCTTACAACACCATCAAAGGTACACTGAGCCCCATGAAAATATGGAATATAAAGACAACTATAAGAGTTTAGTTATAATTGTTCAGCAAGAGTAAAAATTCAATCTTTAAATCTGAAGGGTTAATTTTGAAAATTGTTCAAAATGGACAATACTGAAAAACTTCTTTACCATACTGCACTCTTAATTCAATAACTATGTCTAGTCGGTCACTCCCTTTAACTCTACAGTTTTCTGGTTATTAAATATATAGATACAAAAATATTTTTTTTATCTAGATCTCCTACATTTTCTGGCTCTTGGCCCCACAAGGTAACTAAAACATTTCGTATTGCTTTTCATAAACAGTTAAAAGTTATTATTGGTGATTCAGGCTTTGTCTACAGAAATTTTACACACACCCGGTGTCTGTTTGTGTCCAATTAATGTAAAAACGTCTGAACCGATCCGGCCCAAATTTTGTGTGGGATCTCGCGTGATCCCAGGGAAGGTTTATAGATGACCAAATTTTCAAAAATGTGCCCCCAACTAAATTTGATTTTTGAATATTGAAAAAAATCCATTGTTTTGCATTGTTTACAAAGAGTAAATGTTCACAATTAAAATAAAAGATGGGCGCGAAGCACCCTTAAAGCCTAGTATTTTTATTATAATAGTTTAATAATAAACGAGGAAGTTAAAAGTAAATTTCCATAATTTCAATAAGCATGAGGATGTTGGTTCTTTTTGCATGCAGAGTCACTTAAAATTACAATAATGAAAATTCTGAAACTTCATTAAATTTACAGCACTTCTCCTAGAAGCTTGAACTGAAAATACACAATTTATTAACTTTACAGCACTTTTCCTAGAAGCTTGAACTGAACATACACAATTTATTAAATTTACAGCACTTTTCCTAGAAGCTTGAACTGAACATACACAGCTTATTATACTTTACAGCACTTATCCTAGAAGCTTAAACTGAACATACACAGCTTATTAACTTTACATCGCTTATCCTAGAAGCTTGAACTTAACATACACAGCTTATTAACTTTACAGCACTTCTCCTAGAAGCTTGAACTGAACATACACAGCTTATTAACTTTACATCACTTTTCCTAGAAGCTTGAACTGAACATACACAGCTTATTAACTTTACATCACTTATCCTAGAAGCTTGAACTGAACATACACAGCTTATTAACTTTACAGCACTTATCCTAGAAGCTTGAACTGAACATACACA